GCGACGGAGAAATACTTCTCAGCATTTCATGTGATGTTTACTTGTTTAGCGAACTGTCATTTTGGCTCATTGTTAGGCGGATTCTTTTATTCCTTGGCTGCGGCTGAGCACGGCAGTCCGTCGTACCTCGCAGTCGGCCTTTGCGTCGCCTCGCAGCCTGACCTCACCCACCCGAGGCACACTGCAATGCGTGGGCTGCGTCGCCTCCGTCTATCGCAGCGACATCCACACCCGGGCCTTATAACTCGCAAATAACGTGGTGAAAAACCATTACGGTGGCGCGCTCTGCTGCAGCACCTTCGTACAGGAACGAAAACCATCGATACTTAAAACGTGGGTGGCTGCTGTGTGAGTTCGCGGGTCGCAAGCTGGTGTGCATGTTCCGAAAGAGAGCGGCGATCTTCAGTCTTTCTTGAGGGGTTTCTTTATATATATATATATATATATATATATATATATATATATATATATATATATATATTGTGTGTGTGTATTATAGATAATTGAACCTTAAAGATAAACTTTTTCTATTTCTCACCAATTTGCCAACTTTTATGTGCGGAAGTTGGCGAGCCTAACCTGCAGATGTACCCGGCGACAGTAGCGCCTCCTAGAGTAGCACCCTCGATCTTTGTCCCCTGTTTTCATGGAGAGTTGCAAGGCCCTGATCCACACTTCCAGAACACTGCAGTTCGTCCGACTCGCGCCTGCCATCGTCCTTAGTCTTCTTTCTTCTTCATCCCTCAACCAGCGGAATACAAGTCTTCTACCTTTTTCTGAACGCACCCTTTGCACTTTGCTAATGATTTAAGACTCTCAACAGTTTTGGTGTCTGCCCACGGTTTTCCTAAGTTCCACTGCCACTCTCACCAACTCAGTTCTATATCGCCGCCTCAAATATGCAAATTACTTTCATTTACATGCGAGTAACTGAATACGCTCACCACACAGTTCCAATTCTCAATACTTCCACACTATGCTACCGAAAACACGCGATTCCAGTTCCTTCGCACAAAATGGTCGGCCTAAGCACAATCAGTACAATGGAAAATTACAATGTCTCGTTGTACAAGTGTCTCTCTCTCTCTCTTCTCTTTCTATTTTTTCTCTTTCTCTCTCTTCATCTCAAATCATTTCTCTCTCTCCTCTCTTTCTCCTCTCTCTCCTCTTTTTCTCCTCTCTCTCCTCTTTTTCTCCTCTCTCTCCTCTTTTTCTCCTCTCTCTCCTCTCTCTCCTCTCTCTCCACTCTCTCTCTCCTTTCTCTCTCCTCTCTCTACTGCGAACTATTAACACGGCGGCTCGTACAAGATGGCGGCCGCTGATCTGCAGTCCGCCGTATTTATGTGGCATCTTTCTAAGGGTAGGGGAGGCGCGACGTCATGCCCCTCCCGGGATTTCCTCGGCTAGCGTAACTGCCCGTGCAAGCTGGACGTGGTGTTGCGGTCAGCGGATACAACGCCACGCTTCTACTGACTACTCAGCGTACTGCGAATCTTGCGATCGGCATCACTTACATATCTCAGAGCTGATTCTGTAACTTACGTTGCTTCGTGGATCTGAAAGTAACCTCTGCTTCGAGAAATGGCTGGTAAATTTTTTTTTTAATTGGGGGAAAAGCTATATTGGTGGCTACTCTCATGAGTCATGACACATTGAAACCATAACAAAATCGTAACACGTAAATTTAGAAATGTTACTGTAGCGTAACAGTGTGTACTGCAGTTTAATTTTCAATTCATTTCAGATGTGAATTTTGTAATACAAATATTTATCTAGGTTTTCACCGTTATAAAAGTTATGTAAATAAAAGAAATGAATTTTCATACATTCTCGGATCCAGACTATTTTTATACATTGAAAATTTATTTTACTATAACCATATTTACATTGATCCTGACTTAATTTATTACTTACTCTTAAAAAATTACATTTTTGGCCTTGTACATAAAATAAAGTGAAAGTCTTTGTAATTTCTTGATCTGATCACTTCCCTCTGTAGAAGACGTTCTGCGCTCTTGGCCGTTGGTCCTGGTTCTCGTACAGGTTATCCTTGCTGACTGCGGCTCCCATTCCTTCCATGTTTTTTTTTCTTTCCACAAATTATTGCTTTGTTAATTTCGCCATTTTGAATATTGTCGTTCGCGACTTTATACGGACATACTCGTTTCGCGTTACTACATTGTATCATATTATTCAATTCATGTTCTCAACGAACTTTTCAATTGACGCCTGATACGTCTTTACTCGCTCGCAGTTTTACCCCGTCTTATCTGTGTCGCGGTTCTGTACCGTATTACTCTCTTGCGTCTCTATTGTTTCAATGCTGTGCTGTCCTTCTCCCTTTGCACAACACTAAGCTCTTTTATTTTTCAAAATATGCCATATTATTAAATAATTAATATTTTAATTTAGATAACAGTGTATTATCAATACATAAAATCATGCATGTTCTTTTAAATAAGAGATGTATACCCTAGCAACGTCACGTTTCTTCTTTAATTTCCCCCAAAGCTATACGATATATCGTCATATCTTGTCATTCTATTATAATTAATTTATAATAAATGTCACTGAGAGGACAAAACTCATCTCAATATTTAGCTGCTTTACTTTCCCGAATACGTATGTGTATACGGAGTAATCAAAGTAGTATATGGAAAGTTATGTAATGCTTGGTAAAATCGATTTCGAGATTTCAACAGAAATAAGTTTTGGGGTCTTCTGATACCGAAAAAGTGTTTTTACCTTCTCGCACTTACTAACGTAAGAAGAACAAGTATTATAATCGTGCGCCGGCGAATTTTCCATACAATCTCTTATTGCCGGGCCGTTGTAAGGAAAAAGTGGATAAATCCAGTTGCTAAATATAGAAAAAAAAAATCCTCTAACACATGGTTTAGCCAGAATCCATGTTTTGTGCGTCCTTGATATGATTGACGGCAAAACGTCCGACTGTCCGTGGTCAACGCTAGCTAAACCGTTCAGCAGATTTTATCCAAAATTGATATTCGACAATTGTTGTAGCTGATGTCGCGGACCCTGGAATTTGAAACCGAAATTTTAATTTTTGGGCGGTACTTTACATAAAGTCCCTGGAAAATTTTCAAAATAAAAAAAAAGGTTCTAAAGTTTTGATTTAATTTTGTTGTTGAATAGTGCAAAGGCCGTTTAAGAGAATGGTGCAAGGCTTATTTTCGTTGACATCCCCGATTTTTCGAAAATAGGAAAAAAACTTCAAAATTGGAGGTAGAGATTTTTGGCTGAGACAAAGTCTGTCGTACAAAGTTAGCTCTTCAAAAAGGTTCTGTACAATTTTTTGAAAAAATTATTAGTTTTTGCGTTATTTCTGGTTGAAATTAATAAAATATATACAGATTTTACACCAACTACGGGCCATGAAAATAGTGAATCAATAATATGAAAAATAATTAATTTAATTTTAATCTTAATTTTTTAGTGAAAATGATAATATTAATTCTATTGTTGCTTTCTCGCAATTTTACATTACTTAATTCTATAATTCGTATTCTTAGTGTATTGATGTAAGAGTACTAGTGTCGGCTCGTGCCCATTCCCACGTTCGCATGTGCACACCCAAATTAATTCGGTGCATTTTCTCTTTTCTCACATCTCTAAACAAGAGGGGAATACAAGTCCTCTCAGAGTGTGACCGAAACATGGAATTTCGAAACGCGCCGTCTGGAAGCAGCGATCGACGGACCGCCGCCAGGGCCCTGCGTGGAAGCCAGCCGGCGCACACTCGGGAATTGCGAACGAGTAGAGCGCGACGTTGGCTGCCGCGGGGCTGGAGGGAAAAGAGGGAACCACAGTGGCTTTATGGACGGAAGGAGCGTTTGGTTGAGTGTGCGATCGACACTGCATCTGCGCAGGGGCGATTTCAGCAAGTGCCTTGACATGTCTCGAAGATATAACACTCAGCACAAGTTTGTAGGAGCAAGTTTGGCATTGAACAAAGAAAGTGTGAGGTATCTCTCCACTGAAAAAAGCTCTCATCCTTTCTAATAACACAGTTCTTCGCTGGTGTACAAAACGCGATTGCATTGTTGTGGGCAGTGTTGCATTCATAATAAATGCATTCATAAGAATGTATGATCATTCTCATATATTTTGGAGTTGAATTACAAATACATTTCGAATCAATGAAAACCCAAAGGCATGTTGTAAACGTATGTAGTTGGCTACTGTTTTATACTTTTTGAAAAACCGAACTTAGTGTTCGTTTTTCTGTCAAGCGTGAAGAAAAAATTTACTGAAACGAAACAGCGTTGCATTGACTCCGTCACACAGTGTAGACACAAATTATTTAGATTGTTTTGAGTATTCAGGAACTTGTACTTTTATCCTAACATTTGTACAGCGAGCTTATGAATAAAAAGCTCTTTAACAAATGCGCGAATAAACTTTTGAATGAACGTGTATGCCAGCAACGATGTATGTCGGTAAGCCCAGTATGCGGGAAGTGCGGTGCAGCAGTGGACGATCCACATCCCTGCGCTACACCACCGCACCGTGTCAACTGTGAAGGTGACCATCCATCCAATTACAACCAGTGCCCTACCTTTCTCCGGAAAAGAGATTCAGAAGATGTCACCAAAAAAGTTTCCTTCCCCCAGGCCAAACGTCGGCACCAGGCTAGAACCTGTCTCGATCGTTCTCCAGTACTTTAAAAGACAAGGGTCCTCAGGGGTAACAGAAAGTTGTCAAATACCTGCTCCTTATGCGCACGTGAGTTGTCAGGTTTCACCTATAGACTTCCCTGCGATACTTTTCCAAGGTGGAAAGGCCGTGGAAGAGTCCTTTAGGCACCGGTTTTTAGCAGCACGGCTGAGGGCACGGGCAAAATCGAAAACATCTCCCACACACTAGAGAATGGGAAACTAGTGCGAAATTGTTCGTCACATACAAACACCTATTTTGGAAGGGATCAGACTATTGATCATGGATATTCAAGGCAATTATCTGTGTTTATTTTTTTGCAGAGTGATACAATGGCAGAAAATATTGAAGAACAGGCCAGTTTGACTGTGGCGTTTGCCCGTTTGGATGTAATGGAATCCAGGATGACTCGCCTAGAAGAATCTGTGAATAGAGCAATTGAGACCCTAATGCCAAAAGTTGATGCCTTGCTGTCTGGAAGGACAGCAGACTCATCCGAATCCGAATCTTGTACTTCGATTGCTTCTACCCTTCCCACATCTATAATTAATTTGGCAGAACATGGGGACGCAGAAGCTCTGCTGGAGTTACTAGCAGTTGAGCAAGTTGATTTTCAAAGTTCTACACAACTTACGGAAAATGGAGATACTGCGCTGCATGTGGCTGCAAGTGGAGGACACGTGAAAGCCGTGGTGGTTCTTCTGGGCATGGGGGCGAAGGTTAACGCTTCCGGCCACCGGCTGCGCACGCCGCTGCACTGCGCCGCCGCCCACGGCCACCTGGCGGTCGCCCAGCGCCTCCTGTTGGCCGGGGCGCAGGTCGACGCCAAAGACGCGGACGGCCACACGCCCCTAGGCCTCGCCGCAGGGCAGGGCAACAAGAACCTGGTGGTGCTGCTTCTGCAGAAGGGAGCGAAACCAAATGAAAAAGACGTTTCCGTGGCTGGAGGAAATGGTAATTGGGATTCGGTGGAATTGTTTCTGCAGAACGAAGAATTGTTCGTTGATTTGTGTAATAAAGAGGGAGATCCTTTAATAGTGCTGGCTGCAAAAGCCAATCGATGGGACATGGTGCAACTGCTGTTGGAGAAAGGGGCGTCAGCGACGAAGTGCAAAGTCGATGAAGAGTGCGCGTTGGTGTGGGCGTCGCAGGCCGGCCGGGCAGACGTCGTGCGAGAGCTCCTGCGTCGCGGGGCAACAAAGAATGCTGAACAGATTACTCAGGCGCTTACGATGGCCAAGAGCGCCGCTGTAGTGTGGACCTTCGTGGACGTAGTGCCCCACGAAGTGCGAGGAAGGTCTGGAAATTTTGGCTTGTTACAAGCTGCGTGTGGCGGGCGTTTGGAGCCTCTGGTGGCATTTCTGGAAGCGGGCGTCAACGTTAACGTGACAGATGGCAATAATGGCACTGCTCTCTACTTTGCAGCCGATCGCGGACACCAAGAATGCGTGAGGGAGCTTGTGCAACGAGGAGCAGATGTCAATGGGAAGCATAGTACAGGATTCACGCCTCTCCATAGAGCTTCTTTGAACGGCCACGTGGAGTGCGTGCGCGCTCTGTTGGAAGCCGGAGCAAGCACCACGGAGAGGAACAATGAGGGAAAGACTCCCCTTGAAGTTGCTGGTTCGGATAACGTGCGCATGGCCTTAACTGGGGGCAGTGAGTGACCTCTACATACTTACACGAAGAACAAATTACGAATGTCAAGCATACTCAACATTGTGGATTAGTGCGTTGGCCATATGATAAAATTGAAGGTCCAAATCTTAAATCTTGATCTTTTGACCTGTGGTATTCAACTCAGACTATTTTACTTATCGCTCTGTAACTGCGAAAGAGAAATTGTGATGCACCACAGGGGACATAATTGGAAGAAACATGCAGAAGATGTTGGTGTCCTTAATATGTTGATTATGTTTTTCTGTTATTGTTGGTGTAATTGTTAATATCAGTCGGTTTCATTTGTTGGTACAGTAAGTAATTTTGTTTGTTGCTTACGTTGTAAAATTAATGTATGTTATATATAATATGTTGAAAATAATTTCTGGAATATTTTATAACGTTTTTAATAGAATACAAAATACAATAAACTATTGTTTATAATTCATTTTATGTCAATTATACACATTGGCACAATGTTTGTATTATTGCTTCGTCCAAAGGAAAGCATAACACTTGTAAGAATTTGAAAGAGTAAACAATTACCTTTCACTGAAGAATGTTACCAGAAATAATTTAATTACATTCAAACCGTGTGTATTACTTTATATTTTACAAGGAACGTGTTCCTCGCGCAACTTTTCTTGAACGATGACCTTGCTTCCCCCTCTCTGGCACAATAAACAGATGAAGGCAAAAGCTCGCAGCGAGCACTGATGACATTCCAAACACATCTTCACTGGCGCGAAATATAAACAATTTTCTTTTGAAGAGAACTTGTGTCTGTTATTTTCTTCAAAAATCTAAAGATATGTTCCAAGCAGGTAGGGATCTATCACAGGAGATACCTCGAACTCCTGATAAAGTTAAAACGCAAATTATTGAGAACGTTACGAAGGCGTAACTGATTCTCCAGAGATTGGCATTACTTCATAAAATCTAGTGGCCGATTTCGTAACTAATACCCCCACTCTACCCGCATTTCTTCAATCCGTCGTACAAGAAAAGTTGCGCGAGTAATACCGACTAAGGAATCACTCATTTACAGTATATAAGAACGTACGTGCTATTGTGTTATATTATGGTTGGCGTCATAGAAACACTATGGTATATGACATTTTCTTACATCGTCAGTGTTACCAGGCACAGTACATCAATCATATATCAGCAGCAGTAAGACTCGCGAAGGCATTCGTGAAGAAAATTACTGTAGTGTATCGTGAAAGTGATGTTGCAGAATTGCACAGACTTTCTCATATTAGATTTGTAATTTCTTTGGTCTGGGATAGGTTTTCGGGTTTACAACGTACTCTTGCAAGCTGCCATTTATCGCCGTTTCAAAGACATTTTTACTTTCTCGTATACGTACGTATATACGGAATAATGTACGTGTTATAGTGAAAATTATGTATTGCTACGGAAAATTTATTTGGAGATTTTTAACGGAAATACTATGACCAACCGTCGGGGTGAGGGGTAACTTCACCCTTCAATAAGCTAGGTCAGTCAGTAGGACAGGTTACCATATGTTTAAATATGTATATATAAAATCTTTCGGGGGGTCTCAGGGCTGTGGTTTCTTTGTACTCATAGGATTCTCACAATCATTCAAATGAAACCAGTTTGCTATTAAACGAAATATACTGCAGTCTCCTTCAACTCCTCTCACATTTACAAACAGAATATACACAACATTTAAATTAAATCTTTCCTGGAAGTAAAACAATCCTTACATGCTAACATATTTACTGTACATACTTCCAATGACTAAGTTATCTTGTTATCTTTACAATGCTACCATAACATATGACATTACTTGGATTTCATTTCCACATTAAGGAAAAAGGATCGATTCATTAACCTGAATTAACCTTGTAAATAGTTACAAGTCCTTTCTAATCTGATTGCTGCATTACTCGGCTCTAACTTGATTGTAAATAATTGATTCCTCATTGGATCGTTCTGACTTGATTTCGACTGCAGAGTAATGAGACGTCGGTTACATTCTATCATCAGGGTTTTCTCGTCGTTCTTGCGTTCGCCCTGTGACCTGCAAGTCGCCTCGCCTGCAGTTGCCGGTGCCCAGATTCCTTGAAGTACGCGGTCGGTAGCTCACTACTCCTTGCTGTCCAAAATCCAAATCCTGATCCAAAATGTCCTCTCCCAATTACGTGTTGTGCAAAAGGGAAGTTAAATCAAAGAAATGTAATATAATAGCTAATTCTATAACCATATAAAGAAACTGAAAGAATAATCGCGTGTAAAATACACTTGTATGTTTTATGCACGTACTCTCCGCTTTCAAATCGTTAGGTTGCATTTTACATTGGCACGCTTCCTTTTACATATTTCTTCTATATTTAAATTTACAGTTAAATACGTTCATTTACCTCTTCAAAATGTCGGCGAAGAGTTTCTGTAGTTTGTCCGTATTTGCTGCCGTTTTGCGAACTTACGTTTCTCTCTGGTGTGGAAAGAGGAATGTGTCATATTTTACCTTGACACAGGAAAAACGGGTGGTTACAATACACGTTTTGGGGGCCGCTAATAAATGTTTTTTAAAATTGTTTATTATTGAAGAGAAATTAAATAATTCCGACAAGAACTGGGGGGCTGCAGGCCACCCACACCAGCCACCGCTGTACACAATACTACGAATATTACTCCATTCAGACAAAGGTATGTATACAAGAAAATTAAGCGGAGAATTTCAGAAACAAGATGCAGTATATTTGCTTAGTTGCTATTTTACAAAATCGCTATTTTAGTTTCATGAAATTTGAATTTTCTTAAATTACACAATGTATTTTTTAAATAATTCACGTTGATATTTAGTCGATTCTGTCAATTTATACCATTTGTGAGTACCAGTGTTTCTTATTATTTCGTATGAAGTTTCTCGAAAACTCAAAAGTTAAATATAAAAATGAATAGATGTTCAGTGCCTGAGTAGATTGTACATTTTTAGAAACTGCAACAAATTTTCGCAATATCGAATCATGCTGTACCCTTTATGGTAGTCTTAGTCATACTTGAATTCTATTATTAGGGAACCGAAAAATTGAGAAAATGTGAAAAAATGAACGTTTTCTTAGAAAACCATTTTCTGAGTATAATACAGGAAAGAAAACAATATCATACAGTCTATAAATATTTTTTTCTAGATGATTCTGTGCAGTTAGCTAATTTTAAAAGAATGTTCTTTATTGAGAGCAATGTTGATAGAACGTATTACTAAGGTAACTTTGTTTGCATTATTGCTAACGAAACTATTGGTGTCAAAGTCATTGAACTACGTAAACTCAATGCTATAATGCACATTAATGACAAAGTATACATAAAAGTGCCTGATTTAGTTATATAATTAGTTTTATCTATTGTTACTAACCGTAACACATTTACAAATTGAAAGGTGTCTCGTCTAGGTTGAGGCAGGCGATCCCATGCACACGGACCCAAAGCTGTGGGTTTGAATTACGCGTAAGACCCTAATGTTTCATGTAGTGATCGTGGCGTGGAGGGTATTACGAGTCCTTGGTGTATTTTGTGTAGTGTACCTTAATCCTTCCATACTCTCGAGGCATGACAAGCTACTGTGTGAGATGTGTGGGTAAACGAGAAACTATAAACCTGTAACCAGAAGCACCGCGGTAGGAATACCATGGGCAAATACGTAAAAGTTAAGGCTCGAGAGAGACTTATGGGATGAGCGTGAGGCGCGGAGGTGATCTTCAGTGGGGAATTCTCCAGAGAAACGGTATTACGAGAGGCCCTGGAAGGGTCTTTTAGGCACCGATTTGTAGCAGCAGGGAAGTGCGCACGGGGAAAACCGAAAACCTCTCCCAGGCACTAGAAAATGGGAAACTACCTAGTGCGAAAATGTTTGTCTCATTCTAACATTGTTTTACCTCTTAAGCAGTACGCATCTCACTACTTACGCAGTAGAGAGAAAGTTACGTAATGCTGCGCGAAAAAAACGCGAAATTTGCGGCAGGAAAACACTTATTACAGGGCCCTGGTAACGAAAAAGTGGATAAATCCAGTTGCTAAATTAAAAATTTCCTCTGACACGTGGGGTAGCCAGAATCCATGTTTTGTGAGTCCGTTTTACTGAAACATTGAAGAACAGGCAAACGCCCGTTTGGAAACAACGCTAGCGGCTAAACTGTCCAACCGATTTTCTCCAAAATTATTTACCCACCGATCTGGTTAATGTCACGGCGCCATGAATTTGAAACGGATATCTTAAATTTGGGGGGGGGGGTACTTTACTCGAAGACCGAAGGACATTTAAAAAAAAAATGGAAAATTACTTTTTTCTTGGAACGTTGGACGTTTCGAATCACTCTCCAAAACGTAAGTAAACATACTACTCGTAAATAAACTAACCTTTCAAACACGTATTTTATATGACAATGGTTATGACATGTCGCAAGCTCCAAGTGACTCCCTTTACATCGCTAAGTGTCCTGTATTGTCTCTACAGTATTTGATTAGAATATTCATCATAGAATTTCAAAAAATTATTTATGTTTTATCTTTTGCAGAGTGATACGATGGCAGAACGTACTCATATTGAAGAAAAGGCCAATTTGACGGTGGCGTTTGCCCGATTGGACGAAATGGAATCCAGAATGACTCGCCTAGAAGAATCCGTCGGTAGAGCAGTTGGGACCCTAATGCCAAAAGTGGATGCCTTGCTGTCTGGAAGGACAGCAGACTCATCCGAATCCGAATCTTGTACTTCGATAACTTCTACCGTTCCCACATCTATAATTAATTTGGCGGAACACGGGGACGCAGAAGCTCTGCTGGAGTTACTAACAGTTGAGCAAGTTGATTTTCAAAGTTCTACACAACTTACGGAAAATGGAGATACTGCGCTGCATGTGGCTGCAAGTGGAGGACACGTGAAAGCCGTGGTGGTTCTTCTGGGCTCTGGGGCGAAGGTTAACGCTTCCGGTTACCGGCTGCGCACGCCGCTGCACTGCGCCGCCGCCCACGGCCACCTGGCGGTCGCCCAGCGCCTCCTGTTGGCCGGGGCGCAGGTCGATGCCAAAGACGCGGACGGCCACACGCCCCTAGGCCTCGCCGCAGGGCAGGGCAACAAGAACCTGGTGGTGCTGCTTCTGCAGAAGGGAGCGAAACCAAATGAAAAAGACGTTTCCGTGGCTGGAGGAAATGGTTATTGGGATTCGGTGGAATTGTTTCTGCAGAACGAAGAATTGTTCGTTGATTTGTGTAATAAAGAGGGAGATCCTTTAATAGTGCTGGCTGCAAAAGCCAATCGATGGGACATGGTGCAACTGCTGTTGGAGAAAGGGGCGTCAGCGACGAAGTGCAAAGTCGATGAAGAGTGCGCGTTGGTGTGGGCGTCGCAGGCCGGCCGGGCAGACGTCGTGCGAGAGCTCCTGCGTCGCGGGGCCACAAAGAATGCTGAACAGATGAAATGGGCTCTTACGAAGGCCAAGAGCGCCGCTGTAGTGTGGACCTTCGTGGACGTGGTGCCCCACGAAGTGCGAGGAAGGTCTGGACATTTTGGCTTGTTACAAGCTGGGTGTAGCGGGCGTTTGGAGCCTCTGGTGGCATTTCTGGAAGCGGGCGTCAACGTTAACGTGACAGATGGCAATTATGGCACTGCTCTCTACTTTGCATCCGATCGCGGACACCAAGAGTGCGTGAGGGAGCTTGTGCGGCGAGGAGCAGATGTCAATCGGAAGCATAGTACAGGATTCACGCCTCTCCATAGAGCTTCTTTAAACGGCCACGTGGAGTGCGTGCGCGCCCTGTTGAAAGCCGGAGCGAGCACCACGGAGAGGAACAATGAGGGAAAGACTCCCCTTGAAGTTGCTGGTTCGGATAACGTGCGCATGGTCTTAAATGGGAGCTGTGAGTGACCTCTACATACATTTACACAAAGGACAAATTATGAATGAATGTCAAGCGTACTCAATGGTTTGATTTTGTGCTATGGCAGTATAATGAAACTGAAGGTTCAAATCTTAAATCTTGATCTTTTGACCTGTGGTATTTAATTCAAAGGCTAATTAATTGATCGCTATGTAACAGCGAAAGGAAAACTTTGATGCACCACATGAGGGAATTGAATAGAAGGAACATGCAGGAGATGTGGGAGTCCATAATATGTTCATTGTTACTGTTATTGTTGGTGTAATTGTTGCTTTCCATAATATCATTATGCTACTCTTATTGTTGGTGTAATCATTAATAACAGTCACTTCATTGAATCATTGGTACGTACAATGAAGTAATTTTGTGGTGTTAATTACATTGCGAACCTACTGCATGTTGTGTATAATCTATTAAAAATAAATTGTCGAATATTTTATTAAAGAACTCTTAATATAATAGAAAATTCCAATGAATGTAGTTTATAATATTTAATTTTCTGTTAATCATACAAATTGTGATAATTTTTGTATTATTGCTTCGGATAAAATAAGCAGTGCACATTGATGGATTTAAAATAGTGAACAAATATGTTTTAGTAAAGAAATATGTTACCAGAAATAATTTAATTACATTCAAAGTGTGTGGCATTATTTAATATTACGGAACGAAAAAAAAACAACGGAAGATTATATACAGTAATCTTTGATTAACAGGAATACCAAGAAACCAAAAAATCAAGAGTTTATGTTAAAAAAAATCGTGATAACGCAGAAACCATATTTTATATTTTTAAAACAGTTATTTTCTACACATTGGTAATTTACTGTACATAGATACATACGTGCCTATATACTATAGTAGTGGCCTATATACTACAGTAGTACAATATTATGTATCTCATAGAAACACTGTAGTATATAACGATCTTCTACATCAACAGTGTCTCCAGGCACAGTATACAAATCTAATATCAGTTTAGGACAATAACCCAAAATTCACACAAGAAGATAATTACTGTACTGTAACGTGAAAAAATATACTATCAGATCATTTTTTGGTAACAAAATTGCTGTATATTGCGCTGTCGCAGATGGGAACAATCATGCCTGGAGACTTCCCGGCCAAATGTATCTTCGTAAAACTAGCTGTCAATACGGTTGTTGGGGCAAACCGTTCTTAGTGTTCAAGGCGTGTAAACACTTCCTGGTGAGTTGTCGGAATGGTATTGTCCTTTTCACATTTTTCTGATGACTTTTCTTGTAACTTAAACACAACTGCCTGAACAATCAGACTTCACTGTAACACACCCGACAACATAGTCACGTACACTAAAAAAACTCCTCAAATCCAACTCCAGGCTTCGAAACGTCTTGTAGGATATTCCATTCGTCAGGTGAAGTAACGTTACCATCTAACTCGTCATCAGGATTAGCGTCTGTATGTTTTGAGGATCAGTTAAAACACTTACGTATGTAATTTACCATACACATTCCCTGGATGCGGCGACATCGTTTATTACCTCCAGCATACTCCAAGTTGGCGCATCCATCTCTTTCTCAGCAGCGCGAATTTTTGCTCTCACAAGTCGCTTACGGTAAGACCTCTTCGTAAGAGAAATAATACATTAATCCAAAGACTGAAGGCGACTTGTTGAATTTAGGGGTAGGAATACATCTGAACTCCAATGGGATTTTAATACAATCCCTCTAATAAACTTTTTACGTTTTCTTTACTTACGATAAAAGGAAACATAAGCACTTTTTTACGAGTATGTTAACTTTTCAGAATCAAGTATGACAAAATGACATAGTAAATTAGTCAGACAATACTTAGGGGCACCAAATCTTTGAGAGCCTCGTGGTCCCATCTATCCGAAAGAGGGCCCTGATGATGAGCTTTTGACGCTAACTTTCTTATGGTGAGAGTAGATGCAAGGTAAAATATCAACGTGAATGTTCTTAAAAGAACGCGGTTTCTCAGGCTTACCGTTCACCCATTTACAGGGTCTATCACTGCCTTGTACTGCGTTGCGTACAAGGACAACGACGTGCTGCATCATAGCACTTGTCACATTAAGCTCCAAGGCTACTGTTCGGGCAAAGATAGTAAAAATTACGGTCTTGTATATATTGTAGACATCGCACGAAGCATACTTTTCTCTCACCTGTTCATATTAATGCAATCAATTGTCTGCTTTTCCATCAACTTTATTTGCTTCACTAAAAATCAGTAATGATGAAATTGATTTCTTCTTGGGAGCCGGTCGAGCCAACCAGCGGAACAACTGAAATCTTGAATGTCTATTTTTTACTTAATTTTTTAAATTTGTTTTTGTTAGTTTTTGAAAAAACGAGCAATACCCGAAAATTGTACTAGCACCATATTTCTCGCCATCCCTTATTACATAAGTGAAGAAAGATTAAAGAAAAAATTTGGAGCGGTTTTGCAGAAAAAAATCGTATATTTCAAGCGCAAATTACGCTAAAACTACTAACTTTTCAAAAAATGTACACTTTTTTAAAGACTTAATTTAGTAGACATACTTTTTCTGTGCAAAAAAACCTGTAACATCAATTTTGTAGTTTTAAATATATTTTTTTCATTTTCGAAAAATCTGTGATATCACCGAAAATGATACCTGCATTATTTTGAGTTTTTTTTTTAAATTTTTAAAATGTCTGAAGGATTTCATGTAAAGTACCTCCCAAAATTAAAATATGGGTTTTAAAATCCAGTGACCGTCGCATCAGCCAGATCGATTGAAAAATATCAATTTTGGAGAAAATCGGCTGAACGATTTAGCCGCTAGCGTTGACCACAGATGTTCGTTTTGCTGTCAATCGAATTTTCGGTATCGAGTACTAAAAAAACATGAAATCTGGCCACACCACATGTTAGAGGATTTCCCGTCTAAATTTAGCAACAGCATTTATTCCCTTTTTCGTTACCAGACCCCAACTATAATACTTTTTTCTGGCGAAAATACGTAGTTTTCCGCCGCACGATTACATAACTTTCTCTTCTTACGAAGAATTCGTAAGGCGGGAAAGTAAAAAAAAATATCATTGGTAATACCATGAGTGCTTTGGAAATAGTCGATGAATTTTCGATTCGCAAGGCAAGGAGGGGATTTATCTGAGAATTTCCATAGTACGAGTTTTATTTTTTATTCCACAAGTGAAATCATGTCCAACAGTGTTTCAAAATACGCCAAATATTGAATATGATCGAAAGCATATTGTAACCACCCACACAATCGTAGTCACCCCTACCCACCTGATTTCCTGTTTTTCCTTCTTGGCGATTCACCATTGCCCCGGCTGCTCCGTAAGTAGACTCCCTACAGGGAGGCATGCGTGTTGGGGCTAACTACTACACTTAAACAAGGTTTCATTTTTGTCTACATGATTAGTCAGTTCTATATGCAATGTGGGTGAAGCTCAATACCGAATTACGCTTACTGACCATCTTAAAAACTACTCTTAAGGGCCCCTTCCCACGGCGCGGCCGCAGCGCGGCGCGTAGCAGAGCATTGGTTTGAATGGAGGCC